CTGCGTAAGCTTCAGAGAGTAGTGCTGCTTCACAGAAACATCAGCTAAACATGATACGATTTATTCTGTTGGAAGTTTGCATTAATATTCATAAATCTTAATGCAAAAACACTTCCTGAGTGTTACATGTTAAGCACTGTTCTGGTGTTTTGTAATTGGAGCAAAATAATTACGTAACAAAGCTGTATGCAAAAGTGTTTAGTCACTAAAATTATCAATAATATAAAAATGAAGAGAACTGACGGAGTAAGGTGTGTGAATGGCAGGTAACTCCGCCGTCAGGTGTGTGTGATCATGCTCCACTGATCGACGGGTGGCACATTGAGCAACACGGGCACCTGTTCAGATGAAAACTCTGAGCTCCTGTTACTCAATGATGCTCCGTTATATAAATGAAGCTACGAGAGGATTTACAACTCTACAACTAGAGGACTAAACTATGTTTGTGAGCCTCTTCAGGTAGCTGGAGTGACACATGAACTCTGTGTGTGCGTGTGTGCGTGTGCGCGTGTGCATTCATAAATCTTAATGCAAAAACACTTCCTGAGTGTTACATGTTAAGCACTGTTCTGGTGTTTTGTAATTGGAGCAAAATAATTACGTAACAAAGCTGTATGCAAAAGTGTTTAGTCACTAAAATTATCAATAATATAAAAATGAAGAGAACTGACGGAGTAAGGTGTGTGAATGGCAGGTAACTCCGCCGTCAGGTGTGTGTGATCATGCTCCACTGATCGACGGGTGGCACATTGAGCAACACGGGCACCTGTTCAGATGAAAACTCTGAGCTCCTGTTACTCAATGATGCTCCGTTATATAAATGAAGCTACGAGAGGATTTACAACTCTACAACTAGAGGACTAAACTATGTTTGTGAGCCTCTTCAGGCAGCTGGAGTGACACATGAACTCTGCATGTGTGCGTGTGCGCGTGTGCGTGTGCGTGTGCGTGTGCGTGTGTGTGTGTGTGTGTGTGTCGCTGCAGGCCGCCATCAGGAAAGAGCTGAATGATTTCAAGAGCAATGAGATGGAGGTGCACGAGTCCAGCCGCCATCTGACCAGGTGAAGCATATTGAACTGTTGTATAAAAATCTTTAATTTAATATTAAAGGGGATAGTTCACCCAAGTGATATTTTAAACCCGTTATTGTCAGTTTTAATCTGTTTCACCAATATAAACAGCCAGCAGAACTGCTGTGTTTCTCGGAGCCACACACAGCGGTGCTTCATTCCTCACATGATTTGCGTTTTGAGTGAATCGGTTGAGCGAATGATTCAATGCGTCAATCATACAGACAGTCACTCGCTTCATTCCTGAATGATTCAGTCCTTTTGAAATCAAATGATTCAGTGACTCACTCATTAAGACTTGCCGCCACCTATTGGTGCTTTTAGTTTCATATTCAAAATCATATCAACTGATGATCAAAATCATATCATAAAATCCAAATCAACTGCAGTATGAATGCGTTTCATGCCACTTCTGAGCTGCATTAAACAATCTGTAAATACATCTAAATGGTACTTCAGATGCAGCTTTTGTGCCACTTCTACAGTGTTAAGATGGGTTTTGTTAATACTGACTTCATTTGAGTGTTAACAGCCTAATGTTGTCTTATTATTCTAACTGAATTAATTGATTAAATGTATGAATTTGACATCAAAGATGAGACAAAGTTAGAAAAAAATCAAGGACGTATGGACAAAACATTTTTTGTGGATTTATATAAATTGAGGCTGTCAAGCATTTATAGTTGTTTGACTATACTTGATTACACTTTGGCAGTGGTGCAGATATTGGGGAATAATATTGCTAAACTATATCATATGGTATAAATATACGAGGGTGATTTGTATTTTTCACTGCTGTGATTGATGACCGGTGCTCGGGACAGAGCAGATTAGATGTAATCTGGGTTACGTAATCAGATTCCAAAAATGAGGTATTTGTAATCAGATTGTTACGTTTTAAAATGCTTATAATTAGATTAGTTACTTTTAATACATATTCACACAATGGCAGCAAATTATTCACAATGTATTGATTTGTCTTAATAATTTCCTATCTAAAAAAATTCTACTGCTTTTATACATTTGCACACACCAGCCATGAGTCAGCTGACTATAATTACACAGAAAAGGAAGAGGCCACACGGCAGTTAAAGAATATTTCAATAATTTAACGACACATTCACAGTTCTCTGATGCCAGGTAACTGTCTTAATGACATGCAGATAAACCAAATATCTTTACTGTTCAAGTGTTGTATTTCTATTGTTTTTATTTTGAAATGACTTCATTTGTTTAATTTGACACTTATGATTTTAAATAATTATTTGCTTTTCATCACAACCCCCAGTTTGGGAAACTCTGATGTAATGTTTAATGCACTTCATTATGTTGATAAACATTAAAAAAAAAAAATTAAAAATATATAATTTTTTGTTCAATAAATATACTGTCATTAAAATGTTAATATAAAAAAATATATATATTTTTTTAAAAATACAGAAACAAAATCGTTTTAATAAGTAAAGATTCTGAAAGCATTGAAGGAGAACCAATAATAATTGAATATATATTTACAGTAGTAACAACAAATTATATTTTATTATATGATATGATAATATCATGTTTTTAAATATGATGGTTTCGTTCTAAACATGGTGATTATCTCTAATATGGACTCCCAACATAATATATGATATTTAGATCTGAATCTAACCATGTCATGTCAACAAATGGGAAAGTCAGCCCTCTATTAATTATCATGTTAATTACTGTTAGCCCCGACAGCAGGGGAGTTTTACCCCAAACACCATACTTTTACATATTCTTTCGTTATTTAAAAACTGTTGCTTTAATTATCTTAAACAAAACTGAAATCATAAAGAAGACCTTTGTCTCAAAATATATGCATTAATTTTAGCGATTCTAATTTGCGACTTAAATCTACAACATTTTAAAAAAACATCAAATATTAGATCAAGTAAGCACAGAATCGACTTTGCGCTGCTGCGCGCGATCGCGTCAAGGATCAGACAAATATACAGGTGCATCTTGAAAAGCGGATGTTTTGGAAAGTGCTAAGCTACGTTTTTGTGCCATCTAGTGGTTTAGATGAAAATAATATCAAAGACGCCTTTTGCCCCGTTGTACCCTATATTTTCTTATGAGAAAGGTCCAAAAGTAGTCATTACCTAATATGTGTAATCCAATAGATTATATTACAAACTACAGTTTGTAATCTGTAACAGCTACAGGTCATAAGTAATGTACCATCACAGCTGTTTTGATGCTGTGTCTGGCAGGTTTCACCGGCCGTAGAGGAGCACCGCTGATGGACTCGTCACGAGCTGGATGCCTTCAGCAGAACTCCACCACCAGACTGCGATCATCATCATCTTCATCATCCTCATCCTCAGATCAGCGGATTCTCAGGCTGCCAGCAGGGCACTGTTGCACTGACTGCATTCACACGCAGCTTTGGTGAAACACGAGCGCTTTTACAAACGGGCCGATCCCGTTGTTTACAGGATCACCCGCTGCTGCTTCATCCTGGGTTTCGTTCATTGTCCACGGCACACTCATCTACAGGAGGATCTTTATATGAAGCGTTTCATTCATCATGTGAATCTGCAGGGCCTGAGAGCCTCATTTCTTAATGCATTTTTCTCATTTCACCTCTGATATTGTCGAAGGCGCTCTCTCACGTGTGTGTGGATGTTGATTGTTTTAAGTTATTTTTATACCATTTTTCTAGAGTTGCTTCACATCATTTGCATTCTTTTTTTGTCATGCAAATGAAGCTTTCTTCATAATGCCTGTCAGCAAATGTCCTGAAGGCCATCGTCATGTTTTATTCATGTTTTTCCTTTTTCTTTTTTGTTTTATACAATGTGTTTTTTGAGTAAAATGCTGCATTTTAACATCCTTTCTCACTGTGTTTTTTTAGAAATCCTTTTTAGGCGCCCATCATCCTTCCTTCTGAATTCACCTTTAATAAACGAGATGAGCGGTTTAATTATGATGCACTGACAGACGTGTGATCATCATCTCCATAAATATCTGATGAATAGGTTTTTCATCCCAGTGTAAGGACTCAAATTTCTCTTAGTGTTTTTCAGGGTGTTTCACTCTGTAGCTCATGTGGTGAAGTGTGTCACAAGTGTGTGAGGGAAAACTCACTAATGGAATAGAGACGACGGCAAATCGATTCTTAGTTTAATGCTCAAACATCCAGCGGGTGAAGCTACAATCATATTCTGCATGCACTTTAGTAATATGCACAATTTTTTTTATTTATTCACCATTTGAAGTAGATTAGAGATTGTTGAATTATGGCTCCCTCAAGCAGGAATGATTTCAGATGAAGTGCTCATTGTTTTTGTTAAACTGAAGTCCTGAAATGACAGTTTCTGTGGGAATTTTGATCATAATCTGAAACCTGAAACCAAACCTGAAGGGTCTGAAACTCAGTGTTTCCCAACATCAAAACGAGTTTAACCAACCACTCGTGTAGCTCAGGTTGCAAGATGTTTTTCCAAGACAATGTAACGATCAAACGACCTCAGCAGAGGGAAGAATCCAGTAAGAACATTTCACTTCATTTTCATTAGGACGGGTTCCAAATTGTGGCATTGTTTCTGGAAGTCCTGCAGGAGTAAGAGTGCTTTCCTGATGGATTCGCTTGAACATTATGGCACCAAATGTTGTCACGTTGGCACAAAATCAAACATCAGTGTCACTGAACTGAACCCATGCAGAAAACTGAACCTTTCAAGGAACCAAATCATCTTTTTAACAATAGTGTGATTTTGAGAACTTTTAGAAACTGCATGAGTTTATATGAGCAAGTGTCGAAGCGTCCTGAAGCATCGTGTGTCTCCAGTGTCTGAGTCGCCGAGGGATTTCAGCAATAAAACTGACCTTATTTACAAAGATTCTGTGTGTGTATGTGTGTGTGTGAGAGAGAGAGTGTGTGTGTGTGTGTGTGTGAGA